CTCCCAGCTGCTCCCTTCAACAGCCTGTGGAGGCCAAGATGTGGATCTTTGATTAAAGCACAGTGAGGCTGAAGGCTCAGAGGGATCCTGCTGGGAGGATTTGGTTGTAGAAGAGGTGAGTTGGTTAATTTCAACCTTGTGGTAGACCAAGCTGAAACCTTTGATGGTATATATTATATACCAAGTGTCCTCACCTTCTTTCATTGTTGGGATTGAAAGCCAGAAGGACCCAGGTTAAGGGGGCAGCCATGTTGAATCTGCTCACTAAGGATGTAGGGCTTTAAATCCCACGTATTTTCCCACATACTGTACAGTCATAGTGTCAGATGACCTTTCTTATAGACATGAAAGAACGGATTGCAACTCAACATATTAAAAATATATATTTGAATATACAGCAGTAAGGTAAGGACTAAGAGAATTATTAGATGGTCTAAGGACTTGCATGCTGAACTCGAAAACAACAATGGTGTCACTGAAACGAGAAACCTTGACAGTAGCTTCCTTTCTGTTTACTAAAAAAAAATAATGGGAATTTTATGAAAAGGAAGCATTTTTCTCCAAAAAAGCCTGAATAATTGAGTTGAATTATTTATAATAGCAATAACAAACTGTTTCATTAATATTTTACTGTTTCTTAACTTGTCTGACCAATTTTCCAAAACTGAAATATCTCTTTATCATATATAATTCTAGAACAATTTTAGCCTTTAATAAATAAATAAATAATTAATTAACCAGCTTAATAATCTAATTTACAATTTAGAATTTCACCAGGTTATATAAATAAATCTTTTATGTTATTTGACACTAATACGTCGCATAAAATCATATACAAAGTTTAAGGCGAAGAAACTTTTTACAAACCTGCAATAAAATGATGTGAATTAGCCACATTGTTGAACTCAATCGAGTGTTAATCAGGTTTTATTGGCACTTGAAAGAAGCTTACACCATTTTATAATGACTTCTAACAGGACTTGTTTGTCATGTTGTTACTGATGTGCCATCTTGTATGTTTGCTTTTATGAAAAGAATATCTGTCTGAATGAATACTAGCTGAAAATGTTTCTCTTTGATTGAAAGACAAAATCCAGGGAGTAACTTTTTTTTTTCCATTGTCTTTTATGTGGAATCTATACTTGCGGGCAAATTTGTCAGATGTGGAATATGAGACGTTTTGGGATAATTCCTTAAGACCACCATCTTTGCTCACATGAATCATAGCTACTTTGCTTTTTCTCCCTCATGTTTGGCTTTGTTTGAACACAGAGATGCTGCAGGAAGGGCTGAGTTCTTCTGTAATGATGTACTCTCTCTCTCTCTCTGTAAAATGGGTCAAGGCTGGATATGGGCATGAACACCCATCTTTGACCGAGCTGTCCTTGAGCAGGAGATGAATATTACACTGTTATGTGCGAGGTCAACGCATCTGTCTTTCAGATTTAATATACGTCATCGCAGAGGAGCAGACGTATGCATGCAACATGTCACAATGCTGAAATGCTGTATATAGAACAAGTTCACACATTAATAACAAAAGCTGCCAGGAAGGAAGGAAAACTTACTCATCAATAGATGATGCAACAGAATATATCTGTAGCATCCAAGTATTAATTCCCTTTAATAAAGTGGCCTTGAAATGGAATCTGGTGCTGCACGAAGCTCCTTTCTATATCTACACTGATCCACATTAAGGACAACACTTCAGTAACACAACCAGAACAAAACTATAGTAGTCCCTCGATACTTTGCGGTTTGACTTTCGCGGACTCACTCTTTCGTGGGTTTTCAACATAAGATTGCACATGAAACACAATTGGCATTGGGGAAAGTCAGATCCCACCCCGCCCCCTCCTTTCTCTTTATGAGTCTGTCATAGCAGAGCAGAAACACACAACAGCCTGCATCTCTGCTCTGCTGTTATAGCCTCAGAAAGAGAAAGGAGGGGGTGGGGTCTGTCTTACCCCATCGTGTCCCAGAGACAAACAACAGGCAGGCGTGCAACAGACAGCCTTGGAAAAAGAAAGGAGGGGGTGGCGGGCTCTGTCTTATACCTGAGTGAGCCACACGAGCAGCATGGATTGTTTATTTAAAATAATCAAGCGCAACCCGAACCGAGCGTTTAGGAACGAAAGCAGGAACAAGAATGCTGGATACTTCAGGCACGAGGCGATCAGACAGTCTGGCAGGGAGGAAGAGACTGGGGCGCGCTTAAGAAGCGCAGTGCACAGGTGCAGCAGGAGGGAGATCGGGAGTGACACAGGTGATGCCAGCGGAGAAGTGGGCGTGGCAGAGCAGAGATCATGACATGCTGTGCTCTTTTAAAGCATTTAGAGTTTAGAACATTGCAAGTGTGTGGGAAGGGTTTATAAAGCCTTAAAATATATATACATACTAAAATAAATATAACGTTCCTACTTGGTGGATTTTCACCTATCACGGGGGTGTCTGGAACTTAACCCCCATGATAAGTGAGGACTACTGTATTACAAAAAACCCACAGCAGTAAGAAATACAATAATCCAGTCACTCAGTCAATTTGTCCCATGCTTAGCCTTTCATCTCAAAGTTTTCCGTAAGGCAGATAAGACAGTCACATTGGAGCAGACCTGCACTCACTGCTTCTCAACATACGAGTGGTGTTTCCATTTTCACGGAGTCACATATCTGCCAAAACGTAGCAGGAGACACTCAATTTGATGCACATCTGGCGAGCCGGCCTTACGGCTATCTGGCAAGCGACACCAAGCTAAGAGCTCTGTTTTAGCTCTCTGAAATTCACACATACAACGAAAAATGAATTTGTATAAATCTAGCAAATGCTTACAGATTAATCAGATGTTTTGTTACTTATCCTTTTCCCTCTAGGCCCCCCAGCTTGGCACGTTGATGGGTGTTTATATGCCATGCATCCAGAACATCTTCGGAGTGATCCTGTTCCTCAGGATGACCTGGTTGGTGGGAATTGGAGGCGTCATTGGGACCTTCATCATCGTCTTCATGTGCTGTGCCACAGTGAGTATTTTCTCTACTTTCACTGGGGCATGAATTTTGACTTGATGCTCAAGATTTCCTACACTCTTGTAAAAAAAAAAAAAAAAGAGTTTGTTTCCAGAGAGCAATAAAGATTCTGAAGCTACTTCAGCAGAATCCCCTGTGGAACTTTTGACAGGATGAATATATTTTTTTCAACCTTTATTTAGACAGGTAAATCAATATATTTACATCACTTCACTTTTCACTTCTATTATTCAGTCACTGAGAAATAAACAAACATCATTTTTGATTTATTGTTAATCAGATCATTTAAATGCATATCTGTCAGCAATATTTTCACATAATTGCGAAATAAATGTGTGAATAGCAACTTCATGGTGAACTGTCAGCACTTTTTCCCAAAACACTTCTTGTTGTTTTTGTGTAAAAATGAACTGAAAAGAATAATTAATCTTAGTAGCTTTTTTTTTTTTACCGGAAATGACATATAGAGAAAACTACAACTGGTTAAGTACATTAGAAACATTTAATAGACAGAAAGTTAAATATAATGATAGATGCATCTGAAAACTCACAAGGAATTGATTGAAATGTTCCAGCACAGTTGTACCAATTAAAAAAAAAAAGTTTATAAAGTTTTATGTTGCATATGAGAAAGCAAAAGCTGCATCCAAAAGGAAAGCGCTTTTTTTAAATCTAAATTATCCATTTTGATTGTACTGCACACACGTTTTTTTTTTTTAATTTAAAACAAATTTAATAGTCTTGTTCCAAAGCAGGTTACAGAAACAAACTACCTTAGGTGACACAAATTCCTCCTGTAAAAGAATAAAATGGATGATGGCTTTCTGTGATGTTCTCTTGTTGCTATTATTGTCAGCGCCACGCTTCTGTAGTCATGTGTCACAGTGACTTTGGACTTCATCGTGGCCCAGGGACTCGAATTACATCTGGCACTGGGAATGATGGTGCGGCTGTCAGTTTTCTGAGTGGTTCGTCAAAAACTGCCAGAGTTTGACCTGTTTGATACATTTTTGGTCAGGGAACATATATTCTAAGCCATGTGGAGAGGACCTCAACTCCTTTCCCTTTCTGTTGAAAACACAACAGCGTCTTGTATCAGAATTTCCTGTCAAGCATTAAGACAAGTTCTAGAACCTTCCAGGTTTATGATGATGATCCAGGGCCTGTTTTACTGTAAGTACCAGTTTAATTTAATCAGTAAGGTCAATCAATTGTCAGAGCTATGTTTTTGTTTTTGTTTTTTTTTATTTGTTCTTTGCCACTAGTGTGTTTGTGGTACATTGAATTTCCTCTGGAACAGGGTCTATTTAAAAAATAACGCCCTTAAATCTCAACCGTGACAAAGTTGTCTTCATGGACCCAATTTCTTCTAAATTAAGATTCTTTTTGACTGTAAAAAGGTTTAAAAATAGCAGAGAAAATGCCTTGGTTTGGGGTGGATTCCTGTTGGAAGAGAGATGAATGTGCAATTATTCAAAAATCATTATAAATAAATAGTAATACTGCTTTTTAAAGTCAAACCATAATTTAAAATTTGGCTGATACGTTTGTTTTAGCTGTTTTGGTCTTAATGATAGATTTTAACTGAAATGTAAGTGAATTATAATAATTATTTCTCCTGAAAGAATAGATTTTATGGAGCTTCTAAAAAAAAAAGCTGATCTCATTTTATGCTAAAAATAGTGTGAAAGCAAAACACACACACACACACACACAAAGCCCTAAAGATCAAAGCTGGTTCCAACTCAGATTGACAGAAAGCCAACAAACACACACGAAACACACTTTTACGCTTCCTTTCCCATCCTCACACCCACACATTGACGTTATAACATCTTCCCATGTACACACACATGCATGCTAAATGCCTCAAACACACACACTCTTCCTCTCTCTTCACTTTTTCACAAACACACACTCCTTATCAGTCACACCGAGCTCATAGCAGAGCCCTGGGGCGATAAGCCTGAGCGTGAACAGTGTGTGAGAAACCCCCACCTCTCGTCTCCTGAGCTTCTTACATAACGCACAAACGCCCAGACCTCCAGGGGTTGCCAGCAACACAACGAAGGGCTGCATGTGTGTGTGTCTGTGTGCGTATGTGATTCCCACCTGAGTGAAAGCCACAGGACTTGTGTAAAGGAATTGCAGATGGTGTCAACTTCATAACACACAGCAAGACCTATAGGGTTTAATTAAATGCTGGATATCACTGATCGCACCGTTTTCATTAGACACTCGATCACAACTGTACACATCTGCTGCTGTCGAGCACTTTGATTTTACTGCAACATTTCAACAGAGCATTAACAAGGCAGAGCTCTCTGGAAGACTCAGGAAATATTTTTTTACATGAATAGTGTGCCTCCATGTGGAACTGCTCTGACACTTTATGCCATTAACCATGAAATTATAAACACAAACAGCCATTTTAGCTGTGGATGTATTGCAGATAGCATTCCCTGAGCGCGTACAGCCAAACGTCTGCTGCGCGTGGTATTTTTTATTGCACCTATAGGCTCATCAGGAAGACAGAGTGAGGTTTAATAATTCCCGATGGAAATTCATCAGCTGTTTGTCCGTCCCCATTACTCGTAGGTCCTGAATCCAAATGCAGCAAGGGGCAGGGATGTCTGCCCTCTGCCGTGGCTCATTTAAATGTTAAGGATGCGTTGCTCTCTCTATCGCTTTCATTTTTTACTCTCATCTTTTTTCTTCTTCACTCTCTGTGAGGCATATTGTTTTTCATGTCACTGTTTCCTTATTTCCTCCCTATTATTTCCTCTGTTTCACCATTTTGTTTTTACCTACACAGTTTTTTTTTTACCTATTTTTATTCCGGTCTGCTTCATCTGTTCGCTGCTTTCGCACAACTGCATCTCAGTTCCTTTTACTGTCTGTTTGTATTATCGATTTGAGTCTAAAATTAATATTTCTCTGCATCTCCTTCTGACACTTTTGCCTTCCTCGGCTTACCATCCACAGGAATTCTGAGTGATAAAAAAAACACCAAAAATAAACATATATTATACCACTGCATGTGAATTGATCATTTATACTTGACAAAATTATAAAGCAGGGCTATTCAACTGGCAGACCGCGGACCACTTCTGGCCCGCAGGTGACTTGAATCTGGCCCACCAATGACTTCATAAAAAAAATAAAAACATGAAAGAGACCTTTAATTTTTTTGAAATGACAAGAGGCAATCCTCAGTCTGCCTACCAATGACTTCATTTAATATTAAAATTGATTTGAAATAATAAAAAAGCAAAATAACAACAAAATCTGAAATGAGAAATATTTTCATTAGAGAGGCGATCCTCTTCTATAGACAATCTATGAACCTGTCACAACGGGCTGGTGCTGGTGAACCCAATGGTGCAGGCAAGCAGGCGATGACTCAGAATGGATATATAAAATAAAGAATTTATTAACAAAACAAAAGAGCTGACAGGGCAGCAAAACAAACATAGAATTATCAGGAGGTACTCACGATACAGACAGGTCATCACCAGTGAACAGAAGACAATGCCAGGACAAGGACTAACAGAGAGACACAGACTTATATAAAGGAACCACCAATTAGACAAAATGAAGGCACCTGTGAGTAATCACAGATGCCAAAGAAAGAGACAAGGGATGCAAGACATAAACACGATACAAGATGGAGCTAGATACTAAAGAAATGCAAACCCTATAAATATAGAAACAGAGGCTCGGGGGAACGCAGACATAAACACAACACCAGGGACAAAACCACAACTCCTACAGATCCCAGGCCATCGGTTGAAGCAGCCAATCATCATTCAGTGTTCTTGACGTCCACGTACCCTCCGGACTGATGACGTGTTTGTAGCTTATAGTGCTTGCTAACGAGAGTAGTTAGGAAATGCAGCAACACAATGTCATTCGCAAGGCTGGAAAAAAAAGAAAAGTTGGCATCAAAAACATTAAAACAGAGTGGACTGATAAATATGTTTTTAGTGAAACTGCTGAAGACAAATCGATGTGTCAAACTGTGCCGTGGTGAAGGATTACAACCAGCAAAGGCAATTTCTAACCAAACACTGTGTTTTCAACCGAACTGTTCCACTTTCTTTGGACGTTTGCCTCCAAAAAAGTTGTGCACTGTCGGCGCAGCTATCAGCCGTGGCACCACGGATGAAATCCCTCCACTGTCATAAAAACAAGTACTCTTTTCCGCCTGCATCATTGCTTGCGAATCGCTCATACATCTTTTGAACCTGACTTTTCTGCTATTGTCCAGTTGAAGAAGTGCAATTTCTCTCATTAGTATTGTGCAATCTGGTCTCTAGATGTCAGTTTCCAAGTTCAGTAACTTTATTGATTAAAATTAGGCAGACCACCATTTGTCTCCTGTAGCATCAAAATAAAATAAATAAAAATAAAATGGTTTAAAGATTTGGCAAGTCAGAGATGTCAGAATAATATTTGTGTTATAAAGGAGGCATAATGTCTCATTTTTGTTTTTAATATTGTTTCACATAAGAATATTGATACATTTCTTGCAAAAAAAATTTGAAATGTAATTTATTAGAATTACATAATTGGGTTCTGTTTGTTGCATTTATGATTCAATGCAACAAAATAAACACATTTAAAAGTTGTAATTCTTGGTTTATTTACATAATGACTTAATTTCTGGATTTCCAGCCCCTGAGCTGTTGGCTTTCAGCAACTGTGGACGCCTGAGCAATTTACCATAGGCCATACCATACCACTTTATTTCTAAAGCACTTAAAACACAACATAGCAGCTGACCGAAGTGCTGTATAAAAATAAAAACAAAGAACAACAATAAAGCAATAAACTACAATAAGAAAATAGAAATCAAAACATCACAAGTACAAGGAAAGAGTACAGCATTAAGACACAGATGCTAGTTCACTCTAGGTCAAACGCCAAAGGAAAAAAGTGTTTTTAAACCAGTTTTAAAAACAGAAAGTGATGGGGCCTACCTGACCTTCAGC